TGACAGTAGACAGATTAACAGGAGAAAAGACATGCAAATTTATTACATACATGCACAGGAGTCCCACAAAATACGACACAAGTAAGGGCCAGATTGATGAAGTCTAAATAGCAGTTGAGCTCCAGAAACTGGGGCTTAGGGTTTCTAGGAGGTGGCCACAGATGATGGGTTGTTAAGGGGAGGAAATGCATGGCAAGCAAAGGCCGTCTTGTCATGCAGATAAAATCTCTCAAGTAGCCCAGTCCTCAGAAGAGATGTTATCAACTTCAGTCTCCTTTCCTGTGAGTTAATCTTCCATGTTTTAGGAGATGATAGGGAAGGGGCAATGGCATTCTTTCTGCAGGAACTTCCCTTAGAAAGATAAGCAAACTTTAGAGAGGGACCCTCCCTGTGTTTCAGGAGGGTTTTGGGAGGGAAGAGGAGTGAGCGATGGATGATTAGAGACTTTAATTCAAAGCATTCAGTCTGCCACAGCTCCATACTTAGGGGTATCATTTTCTGAGCACCAACACCAATTTCCTAGGATAGGATTTTAAAATTTTAACTCAATAAATGCAGGGCCAAGCGAGGTGGCTCACGCCTGTAATCTCAGCACTCTAGGAGGCCAAGGTGGGCGGATCACGAGGTCAGGAGATCGAGACCATCCTGGTTAATACGGTGAAACCCTGCCTCTACTAAAAATACAAACAGTTAGCCGGGCATGATGGCGCGTGCCTATAGTCCCAGCTACTGGGGTGGCTGAGGCAGGAAAATTGCTTGAACCCAGGAGGTGGAGATTGCAGTGAGCCAAGATCTCTCTCACTGCCCTCCAGCCTGGGCAACAGACTGAGAGTCTGTCTCAAAAAAAAAAAAAATAAAATAAATAAATAAATAAATAAATGCAGGGGTGGTGCAAAGTATGACTTATTTTTTTTTTTTCCAATTATCCCAGTACCTCTTGTTAAAGAATCCTTCCTCACCCTTGTTTTGAAGGCCTTTATTGTGTAAGATTTTCTAGAGAATAGAATCTATTTCTGGCTCTTCATTCTTTCCATGAGGTGTAGATTATTTTTACATCAATGTCGTATTTTTCTACTTTGTAATATGTTCTAATATTACATATTAGAGCAAAGGAATTAAACACCGCTCACAAAAAGGAAAGAGAAAAAAACCCATACGGTTTTTGTGAAAGCAGATCAGTGATTGCCAGGGGCTGGGGTGGGGCATCGGGGTGGACTAGAGGGCCACAGGAGAATGCTGGGGGGTGACAGAACTATTCTGTCTTCATTGTCAGGTTGGTTACATAACTCTGCATTTGTCAAAACTCTAAGTAGACCCAGAGAAAAATAAAACCATGAGACCATTTGTTCAAACATTCTTAAGAAGTCCATGTAGTGATGGCAGGGCATTACCCCAAGTGCATGGCCCTTCTGAGGGGCCCTGCGTGATTGCACAGATCACACACTGCACACACTGGTTCTGGCCCTTGCATTGGCAGCTTCCTAGGCTGTCCACGGTCTGCTTGGCTCCTGCCCGCTTCCAGAGAGGATGCCTCCCTGGAACATGCCCTACACTTCCCTGTGTCCAAGTCCGGGTCCATCTGGGAATGCCCTCATCCCCTTCTGTTCCCAGAGAAATCCCTCGAATCTTAGTGAAGGCCAGCTTGGCCTTCGCTGCCTCAGGGAAGCTTACCTGCCTCCCCACCACCTGGGACAGATGAGTCAGCTGGGAACGCCCGTGGGCCTCCAACCTCTCCTCTTGTGACATAATCACTTTTGTTTTTGTTGCGAGAAGCACCACTTTTTCTTTTCTGAATCGAGTATGGAGGCCTAAGCCCCCACCCACCAGGGGGATGGGTTATCTCTACCTGAACTGTCACTGCGGGGCTGCGCCCTTTTTGTAGAAACCCCTAACATCGATATCCCCTTAGTCTCAGAGAAATGTACCTGGGCTCCCATATAGGCTTCCTCTGTCTGTTCCATGCTCTGCTGACCCACTCACCACCATGGGGCCCCTCTGTTGTCCCTAGGCCTGTCTTAGCACTGCTGGATTCTTCTCTGTTCTCTTTACCTCCTGCCTGGCCCCAGTCACTATTTGGTGTGGCCTTTACTATCTCCAACCTGTGTGGTCTCCCTCCCCCAGCCACAGGTAAGCCCCACCAGGGCAGGGGCCCGAGGGCCTTGACCACGTTGGCTTCTTCATCTGAGAAGGGCCCCGAATACATCACTGGAATGAATGGCAGTTGGCCTTGGAGTCCCTGTGCTTGACACAGACCCGGTACCCACGAATGGTGAATGAACATTCAGTGTCTTCCCCACCCACCCCACCTCAAGCTCAAGCCCATTCTAGTAAGGAGCTCTGATTGCTCCTGACTTCACATCCCACCAGTGCCTTCTAGAGCTACGGTGAAGATACTGCCCTACCCTGGCAATGCCCACAGCTCAAAGGAGACGGAGGCAAACCAACAATTAGAGCAGTACGGAAAGAGCTGTCAGAGCGATGCATGGGGGCTGTGGGCTCAGGGAGGAGGGAGTGCCCAGGCACGGGAGGTTTCTCTGAGCACCATGGGGGCTCTGTCTGCAGGATGAGGTCTCAGAGGGCCAGAAGGGCCTGCCAAGGTTGGAAGGAGGCACCACTATCAGTGACCAGAGGCCACGTGTGTCAGAAGCCTCAAGGGACGGGCCAAGGGGCCCAGAGAGCTACTGGAAGGGTTGACACTGAGTGGAGGACTGGAGGCCCCAGAGGCAGGGAGCCCAGCAGCAGGAGGCAGCCACCTTCTGCAGAGCTGGCTGCCTGGGCCAAGCCTGCTGGGGAGGGGCTGCAAGGATGAACCAGGGCAGCTGGGGAGCTGAGGCCAAGCCAGCAAGTGGGAGGGGCTGCCCTGAGGTGGTAGCCACTACAGTGACACCTGTGATCAGTGACACCTGTGGTCGGCTGGCCCCAGAGCCACCCAGCCGGCTGGGGGACCCAGGAACTGGTTTGTCCAGCCTGGATGAGTTGACAGGGATGCGGCTCTGGCTACGAGACGCCCCAGGTTCAGCTCCGGTGCCCTCCCCCTACATCTGGGCCTGGCTTTGGTTTCTGGCACAGCTGCCAAGTTTTGGTACCGCCCACCCACTCCTCACTAGCTGTACTGGCCAGCCCAGCTCCCTAATTGCTGGGTGGGGAACTGTTCTGCAGAGCTGGTAAACTGAGGTGGACCCTGGCAACAGGTGTGAAGGTGCCTGGCCTGACCAGCCCCTGGCCATGGGGGGTGTGATCAAGGCATCTGGTCAGCACTTGGCTCTGAGGGGCCCTCTGGAGGAGCCATTGTTCCAGAGATTTCCGTTTGGGGTGTGGAGGAGTTTGTGAAATGGGAATGGGTACCAAGTGGGTGTGTAGGAGTTTGGCCTGCCTGACCTGGGCACGCCCCCTTTCCCTCCTCAGGCAGACAGCTCAGGTGTGGGCCTGCATGGGTCTCAGCTAGGCCTAGGGGTCTGTCTGGGACACAGGCTCCACCCAAGCCTGGCCAGTGCCAAGACAGACTGGGACTGACAGGAAGGAATGGGCAGCAGGTAGGGCCCAGAGGGAGCCTGCACGGTCTCCAACCCAGAAGCTGGCTTTCGGAGGCCAGGCTCCCAAACACACCCCCTCAGACACACCCACTACCCACAAGCACATCTTTACACACATCTGCCACTGACAGGGCCATAAACACACCATCCCCACAGCAGGCAGTATACACGCTTCACTCTGTCCTGAAAAGGCAGGGTCCCCCAACTTATGCTTCATACCCCTCCCCAAACATCCATGGACACTAACTCCACTTTACAACCAGGACCCACCTGTGGGCCCCGAGGGGCTGCCAGGCATGGCCAGGGTGGACAAAGGGAGTGGCTACCTCCCTTTGGAACTCAGAAGTTCCCTGAGTTGCCCTGTCAGGGAAGGAACTGGTGAGCTGACTTCAGCATGCAGGCCCCCTGGGGCAGGGGCTCATCTAATTCAACCTGTGTCCCCCACACTCACAGGGCCCAACACAGCATCTGGCGCACAGTCAGCACACACTGCACGGCAGCCAGTCCACCGATGAATGTGTAAGGAAGCTGAGCTTTCCCTCAAAGGAAGCGGGAGACACCACTTGCACAGCTAGAGTGAAGCTGTGTTCCAGACCCAGGCACCCAGTGGAGAAGCAAAGGCCCAGAAGGCAAGCCAGGCCTCTGAGAGGCCACCAGCAGGAGTGGGTTTCAGGGACCAGCCTTAGCTGAGAGCAGGGATCTGGGAGCGCTGACAGTCCTGGAGTCCAGTGTAAGACAGAGGCAAGGCAGGTTGTGGAACGCTTCCTCCTGGGAGAGCTTTCCAGAATGCAAACCAATCATATTTCACCCCTACTTAATAATGCCCTATAGCTGATGGGGGAAACATTCCCATTCCTTGCTGTGGTAAAGGCTCTCTCCCAAGAAACCCACAAGCTTTCCCATCTCTCCTCCTGCACCTTCCTACGAGCCGCAGAATGCGGCAGAGGGAGGGGCCAGGAAGGATCCTGTCCTTCCTGGCCCCTCCACTCCTAGGGCCCCCTACTCCTATGGAGGGAGGGGCACACTACAGTCAGAGAGACAGGAGGTGGGTTCTGGGAGGGGCAGGGCCTGAACCTGTGTATACTCCAGCAGTGGCTGACCCCAAGCACCTGGGGCCCAGAGTTCCCACCAAGAAAACATTTCATGTTCTCAAAATGCCTTGGTTGACTCGCCCTTTGTTTTCTTGGTGTTCCCTGGTATTGTTCCTACTGAAAAATGCACTGGTGCTAAAGAAAGGAATTTCAGCCCACACGGCAGCTAAGGAAATGTGTGGGGCTGAAGCAAGGAGCAGGATTCCTCCGCTCCCAACACACACGCCTAGCAGCCACGCAGACAGGTACAAGGTAGGCCCTCCTGCTGACCATTGCCATGGGAGGAGCTACTGCCCAGGTGAACGGCCTCAATTCCAACCATCCATCATTGTCTAGTCTCAGGCCAGGGACAGGCTCAGCATATTCCCTGGACTTCCTGGTAGAAAACGTGGTTTTATTCTGGAAGAGGCCAATATTCCCACTCCAGCCTCCCTCCATGGAAGAAGGCCCCAGCCCAGTCTCCAGCCTCCCTCCCTCTCACCTGCCCTTCAGGACCTTGGGGCTCTTGATCCCCCAGCCTCCTTCTCTGGGCCACACCCACTCCAGGGAGCAGGGCTGGGCCCTGCCTAGGTGCTCCTCTGCCAGGAGGGCCTTGTCCTGGCTCCTGCCGGGGCATTCTACCCAGCCCATGGCCCCACCAGATCTCTCCTCTCCTTGCGCCTCCCCAGCCCTGGGCTGGCCTCTGCAGGTTCCAACCCAACCAGTGTAAGGGAGGGCTGAGCCAGCCGTCTCAGGGCACCTTCTGACAGTGTTTCTGCTGTCAGCTCGCTCTGCTGGACTCAGATCTTGGAGGACTCGAGCCGGGGACTCCAGGGTGTGGGGGGCTCCCGCAGTGCCCGAAGTTCCTGCTCCAGTGCCTGGTTGCGGCGGTACATGTCCATGTAGCCCCCCTGGATCTCCCGCTGGTAGCGCAGCACACGCTCCTTCTCCTCCTGCCAAGTCCGCCGCTCCTGCTCAAAGTGCAATGCCTGCTCCTGGCCCCGAAGTCGCTCCTGCAGCAGCTCAGCCCGCAGCTGCTCAGCATTGTCCCTGGCCTCGCTGCCTCCTGCCTCCCCCAGCAGGCCCCTGCTCTTGCAGTCATCAGTCTCACAGCTGCCTGGAGCCTCCTCCCGAGGGGCCTGCTCCTGCAGGCTGCGCACAGCCTCTCGCAGCCGGGCCAGCTCTGCGTCCTGAGCCTGGGCTTGTGCACGGCTGCCCCGAAGTTGCGTCTTCAGACTGAAGATTTCGGCCAGCTTCTGGGCCAGTTCTGCCTGGGCTTCCCGCAGCTGCTGCTTCAAGAGGCTAATCTCTGCTGTCTTCTGGCACACCTGGGGGATGGGGAGGATGCAAGCAAAGTAGGGTGTGGGGAGCTGGTTTGGGAGGGGCAGGCAGAGGAAGGGACTGGCAATGGAGATGGGAGAGTCTCCGAGCCCTGTGGCATCTCTCACCTCCCATCGGGCTTCCTCCTCTGGTCGTGCACTGGGGTCAGCCTCTGGGAGGGTGCCAGGGGCCCGAGGCTCTGGAGCCAGGCCCTGCTGAGCCCGAAGCTCCTTGCGCAGGCGCCGCTGCTCCTGCTGAGCCATGAACAGCTGCAGCTGGAGGTTGCGCTCGCTGCGCTCAGCCTTCTGGGTCACCTCGTGCAGCCGCTCCACATACAGGCGCTTCAGCTCAGCCAGCCACAGCCGCTGGCGCTCCTCCAGCACCTGTCAAGGGGAAGAGATGCATCCACCGTGCACCTCTGGCCACTGATCATGTCCTGTGACCCTATATCATGCACTTTAACCCGTGATGTCCTCCAGAGGTGTGGTGTCCCCATCTCATGGCCCTCCCAGGGAGCCTCTCCCCTTCCTTCCCACACAACTCTCAGGCAAGGACCCCCAGTGACATGAACATGACATCCCCACCACCTGGGATGTAGGGGAAGAAGCCAAGACAACTCTCTCTTTCTTGCTGTCTTGTGTCCATAGCCACGTGGGTGAGCTGGCTGGGACCCCTCTCTCTGGCCTGTTTCCCAGTGCTGAGGCACAGAACAGGACTCCAGGGCAGGGGCTCCCTCACCTGCGTGAAGGGGTTGGAGTCGACCTCATCGCCAAGTCCCCTCTTGAGCTCCTCACAGGTCTCAGGCAGCACAGCTCCCATCTCCTCAGCAGAGGGGCAGGAGAACTCATAGGGGGGTGGTGGCTCTGGCAGGCAGCTCAGCACAGCTGGTGGCCCAGCCTCCTTGGGTCCTCGAGAGGCCCGGTCCAGGGAGCCCCCGAGGTGGTTAATGTGGCCAAGGGAGGAGCTGAAGGGGCTAGGGCCAGTACCAGGACTGCGGCCGAAACTACCCCCGCTGGAGGAGTCAGACAGGCTGGGCTCGGGCTCCGGGCCGCCCTCGTCTAGGCTGAGGGCATGCAGCAGCTGCGCCCGGGCCTGGCTGGCACGGGGGCCAGGGCTCAGGGGTGGGTGGCAGGCCAGCGTGTGCAGGCTGCCATTGCTTCGCCACAGCTTCTGGCCTTTGTGGGCCGCCAGGCTCTGCATGGACAGGAAGCCTTTCCCGTTGCCCGCTGAAGGCTTGAACACAGAGGGGCGGATGCGGCACTGCCAGGAAGAGAGGGCAGGTGTGAGACCTGGGCAGCTGCTTGATTTACCTTCCAATGCTCCCAAAGCCCTTGAGGGATTCTCTTTGAGACTGCGGGGCGTGTGCCACTGGGAGGCAGCAACCAAGCCTCTAGCCCATAACACGATTTTCATATCTCAGCAACCCCTGTCCCCACCCCATCCCATCATCAGGGTCTCTAAGGAGACCCCACCCTCCCCACACCTGGTAAAGGGCTTGGCCAGAGGCACACCTTGTCAAAGCGACCCCGCTCCGGCAGCGAAGTCTTGCTGAAGTCACCCCCTCGAGGATGTTCCCGGTAGTAGAGGGTGGCATAGTCAGCAGGCTCGTTCCGAGGGGCCCGCTTGGTGCTCTTGCCGTCCTTCTTGGGGAGGTGCAGGTAGCTGAAGAGCTCACGCTGGCCCAAGCCCTTCCGGAGGAGGCCATCAGGCTGGCGGGAGCCCCGGGACCCGGCGAGTGCTGCCCGCAGCTCTTCAGGGGAGAAGTCCTGCCGTTCCAACAGGCTGCCCACGCTGCCCATGGCAATGCCAGCAGGGCCTGGGGCTGTGGCCATGAAGTTTCAACAGGGCACAGGCAGCTGCTTCTGGGAATTGGGAGGCTCCATTAGGGGCAGGTGGGCACTGGCTGCCCAACTTCCCTGGGGCCTGAAAACAAGGCGCTTGCTCCCTGTAGCTCCCCACAACCTGGCCCGGGCCCAGGAGAGGCAGATGTGGGTCCAAGAGAGAACCCCAGGACAGGATCCCTAGACTGGCAAGAGAAAGAAGTATAGGCCCCAAAGCCACCTGCCCATCTGACACTCTGCTGGAATGAGTCTAAGGAAGTGCAATGGTGCTCTAGCCGTGCACAGAAGGGCCAGTTCCACCTAGGGGCCTGTGCAGAATTCAGAGGTACGGGGAGGGGATAGGCCCAGAAGCAGCAGGACGGGGGCCCTCCTCCCAGCACTGGGCCCGCATAGGGCTAAGGAGGACGGACTCAGCCTGACTGAACCTGACCTTGCTTACCCCCCTGCCAAATTCCCCACCAAATTTGTGGGGTGGGGAGAAGGCACAGAGACCCAGGACCAGTGGGACTCTCCATTCCTCCTCCTTCCCATGGGAGAGGGATAATTCCTGCAGCCCCTCTTCCTGCAAAGGGTCAAAGCTCCCCAAGGGAAACATCTGGCACGGGTGTGGTTGGGGGCTTCGGTGGGAGGGATACAAACAGGAAGGGCCCAAAAGGAAGAAGGATGACGTGAACAATGGCCATAGTTTCCGGGACAGGTGTTCACGTCTGGGCAGTGGTGGGAGGGGGAGGAAGGGGCAGCTGGACTCACGCCAGCCCTTGCATATGCTCTTACTCCAAAGCCTAGCAGGGTGGGTCCCAAATCCTAACCCTGGCAGAACCAATCCAATTGGTGTGTGACCTCGGCCAAGCCACTAACCTCAGTGAGCCTGGGCTTCCACGTGCACACCTGGCAATAACACTTATCACCAAGATGCTGGGAGAATGGGGTGTGATAACATGACAGACACCCAGTCCAGGCTCTGGGCCACAGCCAGGGTCAACAGGCTGGCCGGAGCGAAGCTCAGCCAGGCACACAAACACTGCTAAGGGACCAGGCTGATGGACCGTCTCCCACCTGCGCTGGGCCACATACTCTGGAGGTGGGGCTGGTACCTAGTCCCCAGGGGATCCTGTGCACAGCCCAGTGCCCAGCCTAGAGCGGATGTGCAGAAAGGTCTGGCCAAATGAACGAATGCCACCTTCTCTGCCTCCCGCCCCCGAGCAGCTGCTCCTATCCTCGAACAGAAGCCCAGCAGGCAGGCTGCAGCTGTGAGTCCCCTACTACCACCCATGCTTCCGGGACACCCACTCCTGCCCCGAACAATGGTCGTTAGGAGGCTCCATCTTCCTCAACCATTTCCAGGTTTTGTGTTTGTGGAAGACAAAGTTCTCTGGGAGGGGGACCTGCCCCAGCCCCACAGCCTCACCTCACCCTAGGCAAAAATGACCTCAGCTCTCTCTCCACCAACCCCCAGACCCAAGACGGGGCGAATCTGGATGTGCACAGCACACCCAGCCCAGCCCCAGAGAGCAGGCATTGCAGGACACATAGGGGATGCATCCACGTAAGGAATCACAGGTGCTGGGTTCCCACAGCGACTCGGCCCTGCATAGGGGTCCCACTGAGTCCTGTGACAGAGTTATGGTCGCTTTCTTTTTTTGTTTGTTTGAGACAGGGTCTTGCTGTTTACTCTGTCACCCAGGGCGGAGTACAGTAGTGCAAACATGGCTCACTGCAGCCTCGACCTCCTGGGCTCAAACGATCTTCCCACTTCAGCCTCCTGAGTAGCTGGAACCACAGGTGCATGACACCGTGCCCAGCTACTGACCCTTCTTAAAGGTAAGGTCAGTAGGGATCAGAAAGGTGAAGTGACTTGCCCAAGGTCACAGCTGGTCAGGGCTGCCCAACATCTATCGGGGACCTAGGATGTTACCACCTACAGCCACAAGTATTGGAATGGAAGCATCCTGTCTCCTTGACTGATACCTCCTCCCCACGACAAGCCCACTCCAGCTAGAGCCGTGGTTTGTCCCTGAGCATGCTCAACTCCTGTTGCTGCTTCCTGGGGAGGGGATGGAAGAGACCTGCTCTCCAGCCTGCCCTCACTCTTTCCAGGGGACAGCAGACATAAATGCTCCGCCTTTTGTCATGCCTCAGTTTCTGCATCCCTGAAGTGGGAAAGGGCCAGCATGGTGGCTTACGCCTGTAATTCCAGTACTTTGGGAGGCTGAGGCAGGAGAATCACTTGAGCCCAGTTTGAAACCAGCCTCAGTAACATGGCAGGACCCCATCTCTATTTATTTTAAAAAAGGAAAAACAATAAATAACGTGGGAAAGACTCTGCTTGCCCAGCCTTCCTCAAAGGATTACTGACAGAGATGGAGGTGAAAGGGCTTGTGAACTGTAAGTCCTGTGTAGCCCTGGGGTTGGAGACGTTGGCAGCAGTGCCAAATACGCCCACCTCACCCCAAATGCACACCGCCTCAGCTTCCCTTGGGCAGATGCTCACTTCCCATCTCAGAGAGACAGAACTGACACTCCATGTTCTCCATGAAGTGTCTCAGGTCCAGGGAGAGTCCTTGAGCTAGAGGTAGCCACGGCCACAACAGTGCATATAACCACACTCACCACACGGTATGCCACATGTCAGCCCCACCCAGCAGCACAGAGCCCATGTTAGAGGACACAGTGCAGACAGTCACATCCAGCAGCAAACACCATCATCCAGCCGTGCACAAGGTCACCACAGCACTGAGAACCTCTTGGGACACACTGACAGAACAGCAGCAGCCCGAGTGATGACCCAGGTGTCCTTCCCAGCCCCTAGGCTAGTGAAGGAGCGGCAGACAGCCCCTTCCCTTTGTCTCTCCTTAGGCCCCCATCTTCCCCACTCTGCCTCTCCTGGCTGATTTCTCTGGCTGTATTATCAGCTCCCCCAGCAGGGCTGAGGCCCCCAGCTTTCAGGACGCTCGTCCCTGCCTATGTCACAGAGTGGGGACAGTCTCTTTTCCCAAATGGGTCCACCCCACCTCTACCCCCTTCCTCAACACACATTCCTTCCTTCCTGTTGCTTGGAAGCCCAGGGATTGCCTGCTCAGGGCAGGGCAGCTGTGCAGGCTGGAGAGGATTTGGTGGGGGAGGAGGAGGGGAAGACAGCAAGTGCCTTGCAGCCTCACTGCAACATCAGAGCAAAAAGCCGGGGCCCCTGCACAGGTCGTGGAGAGAAGGGTAGGGGGCAAGTCAAGTGCCTGGGCTTCCCTGCCCTGGGAGCTGCAAACCCCCAACCACCCAGCTGGCTAGATTTGGGCTGGGACACTCAAGCCACATTCTATGCAGATCCCAGTTGGCCCCAATAAGGCCTCTTCACTCCTGCTCCCTGCCACCAGTCCCCTCACCCGTTTCCAGTCCCCAAGATTAGTGGACAGCACTGGAATCCCTGGACACAGAGAGGAATCTCTTTCGGACCAATCCTTGGTGAACACAGCTGCCCTGGCTGGCTAGGAAGCAAAGAGAGAGGATGTGCTTTCCTTGGGGGGGGGGGTGTCCCAGAGCCTGTTAGTGGGTACATTTTTGGGTCAGACAAAGGGCACTATCACATCTGCACAAGAAGACAAGTTCTGGCATTCCACTTCACAAGAGGAAACTGAGGTTCAGGAAGTGAAGCAATGTGCCTAAGGTCATGTTCAGCTGAGAAAGCTGCAGGGGAGAAAGCACACAGGCTCCCAGGACTAGAAGTCCTCTCTGAACCCACCTTGCATCTCCTCTGGGGTGGAACATCCCAGCCCCCACATGGGTAGGAGTACTGCCTGCCCTGGCTACAGTCAGCCCCTCCTGAGCCCTGGCCCCAGGGAAAGGTCCCACCACCTGCCGGGGGATCAGCTCTGCTAAGGGGCGTGTCTGCAGCTGTCCCTAAGGAATGGGACTGGAATGTCCCAGCTCCAAAAGAGGGGGTGGTGGGCAAGGGGGGCCCAGAGAGGGGCTGGGAGAGGCTGGCCCACCCCATCTCCTCTGTGACAGACACTTGAGGCAAAGACCAGGGGCTGACGCCTGCAGGAGTGGTGCTTAGTATCACTATATAGGCCTTCTGGGCTGCAGCCCTTCCATTTCATTATCTCATTTCATCTCCACAATAGCCTCATGGGGGCAAACAGGACAGTAATTACCCTCACTTCATTTTACAGATCAGGAAGCCGAGGCCTAGGAAGACGAGGTGAGTTGTCCAAGACCCCACAGTGAGAAGCAGTCTCCACTCCCTGGGCAAGGTCCTCTACCTCAGCACGCTATCCTAGCCAGGGGTCACGGGTTCCCTCCATGGGCACACTGCTGTGTATGCATTGCATGTATGTCTGCCTGGCCCTCCACACAAGTTTCTCCCAAGGACACCTGCAACCAGGCTGGTCTGGACTGCAGTCCACCCGGCCTGGAATGCCTCCTGTTGACCCCCAGGTCAGGAAGAACTAGAGGAAACCTGCCTCACGGGGACTCCGAGTCCCTATGCTAGTTCTAGATCTAGAGGCGGTAGCAGGAGCAGGCTGGCCGCATTCATTCAGTCTCGCACATGCACACCCACATACTGCCAGCCGGTAGAGGAGCCCTGGCCGGGAAGGCCCTGGGAGAAGGCTGATCACTGCGCCCAGGATGGCCTCCTGCGTCCGCTCCCTCCTGAGGACAGCCAGGCCAAATGTGTTCCTATGTAGTTGGGGTCAGGGGGTGGTCCAGTGGGAGACAATGGGTCCCAGTTCTCTTTCTGGAGACTGTCAGGTCCCTGATTTCGGCTTGGCCCCAGCCCTCACTTTGGCCAAAGGCTATGGCCGGGACTGGACCGCGTGCTCTGGCGGTCAAGACCTAGGAATGTCCCCTACCTGCAGACCCGTAGCTGCAGCCCGGACACGGCAGGGGGTTGGGGGGGATAAAGGAGGTGTTGGGGGGAGGCGAGAGATCTCGTGGGGAAGTCGGAGGGGCAAACAAGGTTGGCAGCCGCATGGAATTTCTCTTAGGAAGGCAGGGGTGAAGGCGAGGGCTCCCCAGAGGTCCTGGAGCTACCTAGGGGGCGGGGAGGGAAACGCGTCTCCTCTTGGCCCCTCCCTGGGGCCTGGCTGAAGCGGCTGGGCAGGGGGGCGGAGGCCGAGGTCAGACTCCGGCGCCAAGGACGCCTGCCCCACCCAGCCGTGGCGCAGGGGTCCCGAGCACTGCTCCCAGGAAAGCGCGTTTGCAGGGTTTGGGGAAAGCAGGGTAGCCGGCCGCTTGCCCCACCAGCGGAGCATCGGGATCGGCCCCCGATCCGGCGCCTGGCTGCCCGGGAGCAGGGACACCTGGGCGCACGCCGCACCCTGCCACCCCCGCCCATCTCTCAGACGGGAGCCTCGGCCAGCGGGGGCTGCACCTTCGCCAAGGACGCCGGAAAACCATACCTCGGAGACCTGCTCCGCCCCACCCCCCGAGTCTAGCCCCGGGTCCCGGCCCCCAGAGCGCCCCGCTTACCATGCTGGCGACGCGCTCGCCGGCCCTTGGCTCCGCAGCCCCCGCGCGTCGCAGCTCCCCCGCGCGGCTTTGAACCCTTCTGCAAAACGCCGGCTCCAGCCGCGACTGCGAGCCAGGTCGGAGCGGCTGGGCGGCAGGCGCCGGGAAAACGCGGGCGGGCGGGCGCCGGAGCCGGATTGGCGAGGGAGGGACGCGCTCCGCGGCGCTCGCTCGCCTGCCCCAAAGGCGGAGGGAAAACCCGGCCTGACTCATCCGCTCACGGCTAGCCCAGAGCCCGGCCCGGCCCCCGGATGTGGGGGGCGGGGCCGGGGGGCAACCCCCGCCCACCCCCGAGCCAACCTGGGCCCCGCCCGGCACAGACCGCGCCCCCGGCCGGGACTCACCGAGGCGCCGCGCGGTGGTGGCGCGCGAAATCCGGGCTGGCTGCGCCCACGTCGCTACAGCCCTGAGCGCTGGGGCTCGGACCCCGGAGGCGAGCAGCCCCGAGCGCGGCCCACGCCCCAGAGGGCGCACCACCCGCCCGCTCCTCCTGCTTCCCGGTTCGCCTCGCCCGCCTAACGAAGAGGCTCTTGAGGTCCCTCACCTCCCGGATTGTCGCCGCCTACTCTCCGGAAAACACTATCTCCCCCCTTTGAGGCAGAGCCACAGTAGTACTTTGAGAAGTGAAAAGACTTTACCCCACTACTCTGGCTGAATTGGGCACAAAGTTATTTTCTTTTTGCCTCCAAAGTCTTCTGGGGGCAGCAAACTCAGGTGCCTCCAGGGGCCAGAAAAATTACGTAAATGAGTCGTGAGCTTCCTATTGTAAGACAGTAGGAAGACATGGAAACAGAGACACAGACACGTAAAGGATTCATATTCGAAAAATTAAAACACCGTTTCTAATTCAAAAGTTAAACGAAAAGTTACCACATGACTTAGTGATTACATTCCTCAAACAAGTAATATTCTTAGCAGTGCTACTCATAGTAGTCAAATAGCCAAAAGGTGGAAACAGTTCAAACTAACAATTGATGAAGGTGTAAGCAAACTATGGATCCATTCAGTGGAATACTTTTCGGCCCTGAAAAAGAAATGAAGGCCACGTGGTGACTCACGTCTGAAATCCTCCAGCACTTTGGGAGGCCAGGAGTTCAAGACCAGCCTGGGCAACTCGCAAAACCCCATATCTGTCTTAAAAAAGAAGAAGAAGAAGACTGGATGTGGTGGCTCACCCCAGTAATCTTACCACTTTGGGAGGCCGAGGCAGGTGGCTCATTTGAGGTCAGGAGTTCAAGACCAGCCTGGGCAACTCGCAAAACCCCATATCTGTCTTAAAAAAGAAGAAGAAGAAGACTGGATGTGGTGGCTCACCCCAGTAATCTTACCACTTTGGGAGGCCGAGGCAGGTGGCTCATTTGAGGTCAGGAGTTCAAGACCAGCCTGGCCAACATGGCAAAATTCTGTCTCTACTAAAAACACAAAAATTAGCCAGGCATGGTGGAGTGAGCCTGTAATTTCAGCTACTTGGGAGGCTGAGGCAGGAGAATCGCTTGAACCCCAGAGGCAGAGGTTGCAATGAATGGAGATTGTGCTACTGCACTCCAGCCTGACTGATGGAATAAGACTCTGTCTCAAAAAAGAAAATAGGAATGAAATACTGATGATACCTGCTTCAACATGGATGAACCTCTAAAACATGGCAACTGAAAGAAACCAGACACAAAGGCCACATGCGGTAATGATGCCACTTGTAAGAAGCAAATCCACACAAACAGAAGGCAGATTAGAGCCAGAGGCTGTGGGGAGGGAGAAGGGCAGAGTGATTGCTTAAGGAGCATAGCGTTTCCTTGTGGGAAGAGGAAAATGTTTTGGATCCTCACAGAGGTGGTGGTTGCACAACATTGTGAATATACAAATGTCATTGAATTGTTTGCTTTAAAATGGCTGATTTTATGGTACGGAAATTTTACCTCAATTAAAAAACATTTTGTCTCTTGTGGACAGATTTGGCCCATGGCCCAGAAGTTTGCAACCCCTTATGTTCTATGCTGTCCTTACCAATTCTTGTTAGGACAGAATAGAAGCATAGAACTTCTACCAAGAGCTTCTTTTTTTTTTTTTTTCTTTTTTTGAGATGGGGTTTTGCTCTTGTTATCCAGGCTGGAGTGCAATGGCGCAATCTCAGCTCACCGCAACCTCCGCCTCCTGGGTTCAAGCAATTCTCCTGCACTAGCCTCCCGAGTAGCTGGGACTACAGGCATGTGCCACCATGCCCAGCTAATTTTTGTATTTTTAGAAGAGACGGGTTTTCACCATGTTGACCAGATGATCTCGATCTCTTGACCTCGCGATCCACCCGCCTCGGCCTTCCAAAGTGCTGGGATTATAGGCGTGAGCCACTGCGCCTGGCCTAAGCTTCTTTTTTTTGAGATAGATTCTTGCTCTTGTCACCCAGGCTGGAGTGCAGTGGCGCGACCTCTGCTCACTGCAACCTCCGCCTCCCAGGTTCAAGCAATTCTTTTGCCTCCTCCTCTCAAGTAGCTGGGACTACAGGCATGCCACTACGCCTGGCTAACTTTTGTATTTTTAGCAGAGATGAGATTTCACCATGTTGTCCAGGCTGGTCAGGAACTCCTGACCTCAAACGATTTGCCCACCTTGGACTCCAAAGTGCTGGGATTACAGGTGTCCGCCACCTCTCCCAGCCGGAAGAACTTCTTTTATTATTATTATTTTTTGAGACGGAGTTTCACTCTTGTTGCCCAGGCTAGAGAACAATGGTGTGATTTTGCTCTGCCAGAATTTTTAAAAGTAGTGTCAGATTTCAGAGGACCTAAGAAAACTCATTAACAGCTGCTCTGGGTCTCAGCCCTTGAGAGTTACTCATTGAGACAGATAAAGTTTCAGAGCAAGGACCCATTTGACTGTTTGTTGGGAGCCAAGGAAAGGCTTCACTGGAGCAATGGCTTCTGACATGGTCCTGGAAGCATTTCCATCGAGGAGTGCTCCCAGCGAAGCAGATGGCAGGGCTAGAGAAGGCAGTGCACGTTCATCTCCCTAGCGAGGTCCAAGCCCCGGGTGGGACAGGTTAGTAGCGGGAAGGGACGAAGGTGGCACCCGAGAGCAGACTCAGAGAAGCCTCATGAAGTGAGCGCTGGGAGCCTCTGAAGCGTTCAGAGAGAGAGAGGGGCTTGTGCACGCAGCTGGACGTGGGGCTTGTGAGGTGACGCAGGCAGGCAGGGAGGTCGGGTCAGCTGGGTCTCTAGAGAAAGAAACAGGGCCAAGGAGGGCCTGGAAGCTGGGTCTTTGCTGCCGAGAAGGTGTTCATTCTGTCAACTGAGTGGGAGAGGCAGTGATAGAGATGTTCATAAGAGGGTTTGAGAAGGTTCTTGTAAGAATACACTTGCAACAAATGGCATGAGGAAGAGAGAGAGGGGGTCACAGAAAAGTTCTGATGAAAACTCAGATTCTGGGCTGGGTGCGGTGGCTCACGCCTGTAATGCCAACACTTTGGGAGGCTGAGTCAAGAGGATTCCTTGAGCCCAGGAGTTCCCTGGGTGACATAGTAAGACCCCGTTTCTACAAAAAAATTAATAATTATTAGCCGGACATGGTGGCGTGCGACTGTAGTCCAGCTGCTTGGGAGGCTGAGGCAGGAGAATCGCTTGAACTCCAGAGGCGGAGGTTGCAGTAGGCCAAGATCACCCCACTGCATTCCAGTCTGGGCTACAGAGCGAGACTCCATCTCAAAAAAAAAAAAGAAAAGAAGGTGCTCAACTGCACTCCTGTCCATGCAGGCTGCCTTTTGCTCTCCCTTGACCCTGGCCTGCCACTGGCCTTGCTGAGGTCTTTGAGAGAAGGAAGTGGGCTGGGCAGAGGTGAGGAGGCAGAAGCCAATAGGAGGCCAGGCCTCTTTTCTCTCCTCCAACATTTGCCTGAACAGCATGGGAGAGGCCAAGCTGGACTCCTGCTGGGGTGGGAGGAACTTGTATTCAGTGAACTTTATTTACCTTCCTGGGCTTGCACACCAATGCCCCTGCAAGGGGCCACTTGCCCTCAGACATGGCATTCCTGTAGAGTTGGCATGGGAGCATGCTGCTCAGATGCCAAGGGCGGGGCTCTGAAGGTGCCAGGCCAGGGGAAGTGAAACCAAGCTCCCTGGATGCACCCACTTCCTGAATTGGCTGACCTGGGACAATTTAATTTCTCTCCCTGAGCCTTGGTTTCCTCATCTCTAAAAGGGGAGGGTTAAGTAAGCTAGTATCTCTAAAGCACCCTGCACAGTACCTGGCAAGCAGCAAGCATCTGTGAAGGTCAGTTGGTCCTTCTCCCTTTTCCTTTTTTTTTTTTTTTTTTTT